CAGCAGCTTGAAAAATCAGTTTTCTATGTTTTACAGTTCGTAAATTTCAGTGAAATAGAAATGAATAAATATCAAAAATCCAATTTTGAAGTCTAGCTCTCCTCCAGAGCAATGAGCATGCCTGAGCAGTTAGCCTCCGCGTAACTGAGTGATGCGCTGTTTTTTACGGCGAGTTAAAGTTAGAGGTTTATGGACGTCGTTACTTGTAAAGCTTTCTTGTAAGTCATTATACAATCAGGGCTTCAAGAGGAGCTGTTTTCAGTTTCTGCACTGGTATCACCGTCTATGTTATGCCGGTCTACAGTTATAGATAAGGTCCGTCACGTGTCCTATGAGTTTGAAGTTTTTGTCCTAACTCCAACGTCGCAGTTATTTTAAAAAATGTCTGAAATGGTCTTTCAGGGTCTTGCAATCGCTCGTTACCTCCGAAGGACTTAGTGGATGGAACTCCACGTATCTAATGCTGCAGATGGCAGCACCACAGGGGGTCATGACTTTGTAGTTTTTTTGTGGGGACCCCACTGAACGCGACGCGCCCGCGTTAGATGTACACGTGTATTCTCCGGTCTGTGTGTGATATACTAATTCGTTCTGGCACTTTTTATGGCTTCAGTCTTATCCCGCGCAGTGTGCTTTTTCAATTGTTTAACGGAATTGAAAACCGCATTATCAACTCGGATCCACTCTCTAGCTGTATGTGTCAGTATGTTCAACGAGACTAGAACCGCTGTAGACTGCAAACAAGTACCAAATAGCCTGCCTAGTTCGCATTTTTAAGCCGTACTCGAAATTAAGCTTTGTGGCGGCCTTGCTGAGTATAGAAGAAGAGGATGCGATCACTGGAATGAGAGTTTTATTTTCCTGACGTTTCGGAAAATAGAACTCTTGTTCCAGTGATCGCGTCCTCTTCTTCTGAACTGCCTCCTGGAACTCGCATATCCTCCACTATTGGCTTGCTGAGTATGTTTGAATCTACACGCCCATTCGTCCATCGTTATTAGTAAGGAATAATGAAGCAAGGCTCCATTTATGTATGCCCCCACGTTCTAATCCCTACACGCACACAAATTAGGCTTCAAAAGGACCCCGCTATCTCCTCGAGAAGTCGCCAGATAGACTACATTAAAAAGGTGTCACTGAATCTCGACTGTTAAGTCTGCGAAGGACCGAGTTATCTCAGCAGATTTTCAACATTCTAAGCTCCGAATGGGCGTAAAGAATACGCGCAGGCTTGGCCTCCTCCATCACAGGCAAGTCCGAATCCCGTCAACTGTGGATGAGACCAGGAGTGCCCTCCTATGCGGCACATGTTTCCGTCCAGTGTGTGCCAATCCTGCCTGACCCCTGTTTAGCTTCTTCTTCGGCGCGGCCTACCCAAAGCCTGTCAAGTGCCTGTATAAGTACCCTTGTTGTTCGAGTCGACCTCGCAATCAGTCTTAAGAACCTAAAAACACGCAAAGCTGTATACATCAAGCAGCTAGGAATATGTTTTCCGTTCCCCTTCTGCCAGGTTTTTCTTCCGTTTGCGTTCTCGTTGTTAATGTAGCTGTGTTTTTATGTTTTAGTTGACCACCTTTGCCGCTACCTTTCGGTTCGACTCAATCTACAGAAGATTAACAAGGATGTGTCAGGTAAGTCTTGGTCTACTTCTAAGCATTTGTACCTCTCTATGCGATTTTTGAACCATGTCAGAAAGCACACAGGGAACTCCGATGAACCTTAACTCTCTAGCTGTTTCATGCAGGAACATAAAATCAACGAAAGGCAATTTTAGATACTACCTCTGCTGCTATTACAGTGAATAATGCAACATTTGAAAGCTAGTGTCTCCTGATTGTTGGAAGTGGACGACGCTCTGTTTGTTTCAGACTATCACGGAGGACTCACGAAAACAAGTAAGCTTTCGGGCTTGTTTTATGTGGTCTGTGATCAGTACGTACCCACTAAAAATCATTTTTAAGGTTTGTCAAGAAAGATTAGGATAAACATTTTTGCTTATCGTTTGTGTTCCAATCGATATGCCCGAAACACAGATCCCAAAGTTTCACATCGATGAACCTCGGTGACTCAGATGTAAGAGGCAAACCGTGTTTTCTTCCAGTGAGCACCACTATCTCATCGGATTGAAGGTTGCCGATAGCAACCAATAAAGGTTCGCTTTGTATTTGGACCTTAAAAAAAACTGACGCAAATTAAAATTCCAAGATTTTACTGGGTTACGGCTAGCTGACTACGGCAAGTGTATCGGGAACTGTCTCTTCATCTTTCTGTATTCAGTCATTCTCTCAGCCCCGGACTAAATCTTTCGCAGTGGCAATTTGCTCTGCCGCTTTCTCAGACAGAGCATGGCTCGATACCTCATTTGTATCTAAGTACAACGCGCTCTAACTTGTTAATGGACTTATTTTGAGTATGTCTCTCTTTTTCGTCTATGAATAAGTTTACGTACTCCTCTGACTCGACCATCCTGTTGAGATGTTAATTTTCCAGCGACCTTTTTAAAATCTTACTCAACAGTACGTCTCGTTTCAGACAACGAAGCCCAGTTCTCTCTCTACTACTACGATGACGCAACATCTGACTATGTCCGTCTTCAACCCAACGTTACTATAGAAGAAGTGAGTCGGCTCTATTGGAATGGTCAGAGGAACCTAGATTTCTACTACCTACGCGAGTTCTAATAATACCACCCCTCCCCCTCGCTCCGACATTACTTACTGCTGATGATACCATCCCTCCCTTCCCGCGCCACAATTTCCTCTACGCCTTTCCTGTGGGCGCTTGTACATGTCTCACCTTACCTCCCCTTGTATATTGCCTCATATACCTATTATACATACTTGAACCCTCCGTCCGAGCATGATCATTCCATGTTTAATTTTGCTGCACCTGCACAGTCAAAATCTCGGCCTACTTTTCACTCGTCTCAGTCGGGAAAATTGGAATCTACTGGGTTCTAAGTACTCAGCCGAAAGTTTGTTTTTGGGCCATTATTTGACAATAATAGAGCTTAGTATGACAGGAAGAAAGCCAACTTCTAAGAATCCAACTGAAACGCGCGTTTTTGCAGTTTATGTTAGATACAGGGTGTTTTTGATGAGAATTACGGGAAGTCAACAGCAGTATGGATAAGAATCATTGGATCCTACTTCGTTTTCAGACGTTCCAGCAGCCGTAACATCAATGCTAATTGCTAGCAGAGATGAGCGTGTCGACTTCATCCTATTACGGTCATCACACGCATCAGGATTTAATTGGGCCTTGCCAATCCACATAAGTTGTCGTTGGTCGGCGAGAGAGCTCCAATAGGCTTATGACAGATACGCCGTAATCTAGGCCAGAAACCCGGACCCCCGAGCGCAGTTCAACCCGGGTCTACCTAGGATGGGCGATCTTCTCTAAAGTCTAGGCCGTGTGTTGAACGGATATTTGAGGCCATTGTGGCTAAGTGATGGAAAGACGTCAACACTGCTCATCAGGAAAATTTTGCCGCCAGTCCGGCTACCTCTATTATCCACCGGTTTGCGTAAATTGATCTCGGGCTTGGAAATGTAGAGTGAGGGAGATTTAGCAAAGAGCACATGATGACGAAAGATTCTGTTGGACAACTGAAACGCGATAATTTTACGGGGTAGTCTTGGCTAGACGGATGTACAACGGATGTACAACGACCAAACTGAAGTTCCATCATACGTGTGGAAAGATGATAAAACGTCTTTACTCGGGGATATCAATAAACCTTCGATTGGGTTACTTAATTTCGCCCTTAGATGGTGCAAGGTGTATTCACTGTCCTGTCTAAAAGCGCTTATTCAGGTTTCCTTCGCGGGGGCCCGTCAAATGCATTGCCAGTTTTATAAGGTTGACGACAAACTGGCAGAGTATATACAACAGTTTTCTGTAGTCTAGTTAAGAACGGTGATCTAATTTTAACAAAGTATCCTATTGTGAGGCCACAGAGGCGCGGCGGCCCGCGTACAGTAGATTTGAGTAGCAGCAATTTACGGCATGAGGCTTCTGCGCGAACGACATGTCGGACTAACTGAAGTTAAAGTCAACCAGCCCCGCTTTTCTTAAATCAAAAAACGTATGCAGTCAAACGAATAATATGTATATATGCGAGAAATACAATCATGTAAAGCACGATTTATAAAAGCCTCCGCATTAAGCAGAAAGTTTTGGCAACGTAAAGATGCAGGACTTGGTCGCACCCAAAGTTGTTAATTACATTTATATATGAATATGTATATCTGTACAGAAGGAAATAACGCGAGTGACGGAAAATATGGCTCTGGGGTAGCGGGAGGTGCAGACGTCGATTAGTAGGGTTGGTAGGCAAGATAGACCTGCTGCATGCTAACGCCGTCGGGTCCTTGAATGTAGGCCTGTTGAAGAGCTTGCCCCGCCTCAGCTCCTTCCATTTGGCCAGCGGTGGTTAGCATAGTCTGCGGTTTTACTAGACGTACAAGGTGTGCAAAGGCGGGCATTTTAGGCGGACAGAAAAGAAGGCCGAAAGGACTATGTGCACTATTTAAAGAGCAAATTACCTCCCGCAAGTACGGTCTGCCGCTCCAAATCATCCGTTTGTAGGATCGTTTCTACAAGGATGAAAATTTACATGCATATCAGAAACCAGTTAGAAAAATTTAACAGTTATGGGCTTCGGTGCATGCTGCTGATCAATATTATCTTTCAATAAAGGTAATGCAATCAAATCCAAGATCACACTTGAGTAGGCATACTAATACGCAATATGGTGATACTAAGCCAGAAGGCAAAGATGGCACGATTATATGCTGCCCCATTAGCTAATACCTTAGTACTGTATTTCAGAGATAATAGTGACTATCGGTGCTCTGGAAGTCCCCACCGTCGATGGTTAAGGAGCATAGATGACAACAAATCAGAATGGAAGTACAGGAGTAGTTAAGAGTATTGGGGTGTGGTAAACTTCTAACTTTACCAAAAAAAGGCTTACAACGAACCTGAGTTGTTTACGTCCAAAGCGATTAGGGGGCCAACACTACCATCTACAGGGCGAAAAAACAAACATGATGGATGAGTGGTAATTCTCGTTGTGAACTCCTGACAGAAGTGCTTTGATCTTAGTATAAGGGAGAGTTCGACGTCGATTTAATAGTTACACAAATCCGAAACGAGCCGTTTGGATGAGTTAACGGACGAGTAGTTTAAACGGCTATTGCAGGAATGAACAGGGGCAACGTGTTGATAAACTTCTTACCCGTTACATATCCGGCGGCCTCTGAAAAAAATAATGAAGATCGCGATTAACAAAACCATCCAGCCAAATAGAAAAAAATACAAGGTTATTACCATTAAGGAATATGTCAACGAGGAAGCCGACGATCGGTTATTGGAACAAAAAGCCGTATATACAAAATAGCGTGCACCTTAACACCTTAGGGGTTTAGCTTGGAAAAAGAGACACCATGAATTTGATAATGCTGCCAGAACGTTAGCAGTGCTTCTGCAGGAGCTAGCGTTTCTTTTCTCCGAA